TAGAAATATAATACCTACATGATTTCGGTTCATACAAATTATGAATTAACTGGTATTCTGTAACAATAATCTACCTAACCTATTATTATTGTCATGATTAGATTTAAACTTGCACTTATTGGATTTAACTAATAATAGTATTCCGTATTTCATAACTTTCCGTGCAACTTTACTACTGCATCGACGGTGAATTTAATCGATGATACCCGTGGGTAAACTATATAATATAGGTGCTATATAGCATAATATYACCATAGATTGTTATTAACTATTATTATAAATTGTTAATTTAAAAAGGTATACAAATTATGAAAGARGAATAAATAGGTCGAGAGCGTTACAGCACCTATTAAATCCGTTATAATACGGTTAGTGGCTCGTATGTGATAWATGGGTAGGTAAAGTTGTATTTGAAATAATATTATAAGGTCCTAGATACCTAAAACGAAAAATACGAAAAACGTTAACGTTGTAATGTGCGATTTATATTGTAGTAAAATAGGGAGGAATTGTATACGYTCCACAACAAACATATAACTCGTCTGCAGCGTTATTACACATATTTTTTTTTGTAAATTTTTCCACAACGTTTACTACAAACGATATCGTAAGAAAAATATTACCTTACGATATTAGAAATTTAATAGCAGCACGTTTGTATGCGATTTAAAGTACTTACCTGCGCACTTGCCTACAAGCACACACACGCGCACATAATATGTAAAGAATTCGCACGTGTTTCGGAAATGAAAGTTTTTCCTTCAATAGGAGGAAAATATTTTATTCGTTTTGACTTTTTTAAAATTTATATTCACTTAGTCGTGATTTCATGTTTTATACGCACGATCCCTGACAACAATCCTAAACATGTAATATTATTATTATTATTATTGCTCTTATATTATTGAATTATATCTGTTCTTGATGGATTTTTTTTTTCGTTTTCTGTTTTATTTCCGACAGAAGGCGGCTTTCCTGTGGCCGTCGCCGGAGCAACAGGCACAACAGCAGCAGCAACAGCAGCAGCAGCAGCAGCAACAGCAACAGCAACAACAGCAACAACAACACCAACAACAGCAGCAACAGCAACAACAGCAGCAGAATAACCTGGGCGCGACCGGTGGTCAGACTTTAGGCCCCGGCGCCGGTAACCTGAACAACAACAACAATAACAGTAGCAGTAACAACAACAATAACAACAACAGCCACCTAAACGGTAACAAGTGTGGCGTCGGCAGTGCCGGGTCGGCCGTCCACCCGCAACACCTACAACAGCAAGGTGGCGCGGCCACCGGGGCGGGCGGCACCGGACTGGTGCACTGGATGTCCATGATGGCCGAGCACATGAACAACGCCGCGGCTACACATCACCATCACCATCATCCGCACCATCATCATCACCCAGCCGATCCGGCCAACGCCATGCACTACATGTGGAACACGCCTGCCGTCGACGTGGTGAGTAATAACATAATATTTTTAGCATGACGATAGCATATCATTATTACCTATACGTATTATTAGGACCTAATTCTAACCTACTTATAAAAAGAACTAGATTGGCATCAAACATAGTAAATAAGTCAATTTTTCATAATTTTCAACCAAACTGGAATAATTTTGTAGGTATTAAGTAATATATCGAGTCACTTCAAGTTTTGATATCATAATATCAATATCAAAATTCTARTTTCAATAAACTGTTCAATTGGTGATGGTATTGATTTCGGGTTGGTGAAGAGCATTTGAATGTTTAAAAGATTATTTGATTTAATAAATTKTAAGGTTATACGATCACCACGTGGTAGTTTTAAAAATATATATATATTACATTTTCGTGCTTTTGATATTTTTCTCCGTGCAAATTTATAGTTTTAGTGTTAAAAATATGTATTATAATATTTATTTTATATAAAACGTAATYGGTGTGATATTTATTATGCAAACTTGAAACTATACTTAAATCGGCAAACATTATGTTATTATTAATATTAATCGCTTTATAAAAATCCCACGTGGATTGTGTGGGGGCTGATAAGCGTATAATAATATCATGTATATTTTACCAACATTGTTACCCCCAATGGTGTATAAGTCAGCTCACCCAATCTTCTCTCAATATATGATAATGATAACAGTTATCATATACTACATTATTAATATTATTCATATTTATAGTTATTGATAGTAATAATATTATTGTTAATAGTCTTTTGGTCGCTCATTCGTAGACGGAAAAAAAAACAAACGAACATTTACGAGTTTAAATCGAAAACTTATGCTTATTCAACCACCTTCCAGCGGGGTTTTATAATGTTTAGAAATCGTATCGGCTGGCCCATAAGCCCGTACGAAAATTAAATCGTAAGCCCTTCTGACTATCAAAGCTATGCCTGTGTACAGCCAATTTATTCGTGCAGTAGTCTTGAGAACCGTGAGAACCGTATTATGACCGCCGCGACTATCTTACCAAAATTAAGAAACCACTGACGCCAATATAATAATACGAATCAAAAACTATAATATAATATTATGATACTTAAATATACACACCATCGTAATAGTGGCGACTCATTGTATTAAAATATGGTGAGTCGGTAACTATTGCGTTGTTTATACGATTCGTATACGCATTATCGTATCGTTATTTATTATTATTTTTTGTTYTCAAAGATTATTAAACCGTGAACAGAAATATAATCATACATAACTAATTTTTGACTAAAATTAATCGAATCGGTATATATATATATTTTTATACACCATAGCTGTAATACGCCTATACCTATAATATACAATATTATATTGTATTATTATTTATAGGCATTTATTATAATAGTGAACTGATTTAAAACATCTGTGGTAAAACAAATTATTATCGTTATACTAATAGTAATAATTATAAACCGTTGTTATAAAATGAAATCAATACATTATTATTATTATTTTATTTACTAACTAAACATTAATTTTAATATTTTATACAAGTCAAAAAATCGATTTTAAATGCACCCGAATGCTTGAATAATGCGTTATCCGTTAAGATGTTATATTTTGTTACATGCATTTCGTATGTACCGATTCTTTGAAGTTATGTCAAAAAATTAAAATAAATACTTTTCGCAACTATAACTATACATATATTTTATAAATTATAACAAGGACTTAAACTTTGTTCTCGACGT